TGCATCGGCTATGGAGAACATGGTTGGAACAAAAAAATGTAGGAAAAAGGAGGGGGTGCAAGTGCAGCCAGAGTGACGTCAGCACGCGTGGATCGACGCATTCGTCGACAAGCTGTGGCGGTCCTGCAAGTCACTTGTACCGCGATTCTGCAGCGTGTGCAAGATACCCGGGATGTTCCCGTGTCGACCAGAACCATTTCCCGTCGATTGGTTGAACATGGCCTGCACTCACGGCGTCCGTTACGAAGACTGCTATTGACCCCACAGCATAGACTCCAACGTTTAGAGTGGTGTCGGACTAGAACGATGTGGATGACAGAATGGCACTCTTATTGACTCTATACCTAGACGTGTTTCTTCGTGCAGTGCTGTCCGCGGTGGTCCTACAACATAAATAGCCAATGTATCTCTCATCTGCCCCTGTATGGCAATGTAATAATTCTTTTAAGATCTCTATAAACTCCCGGTAGATAGGGGAGGGCGCGGGACATATGCCTGTTTACCTCTGTTAAACACCAGGCGTCCCCGTCCTCCGTCACCTGTCACTTATCCTACTGAGCCGACGCCGTTCTCGCTCTGTATTCTGACTATCATTTTGAAATAAAGCTCACTTATTGTTGCTTGCTGTCTCTGTCTTTTTTTCCAAATTTCATCACTTTCTAACCACTCCTTCTTGGTGTTGCATTTTTAATGTCGAGCAGTGTATTATCGTTAATAAACCCCCAGCAAAGGACTTTGTGCTTGGAATTATCAAACGATAAACACGATCACCGTGCCCACCATGCTCAATACTCTTAAGGAAATTATTCTTGAAGCTCTAGCTTTAAACAGATAAGAACATCCAAAGATCACCACACCGAGACATATTATTTTAATAAAATTTCCTGCAGTGGTGAAATTACGAATTGTTCTCGCGTACCCAGACAGACTGTGCCAGTAATGATTTTGTCAGAAATGAGAAAAGTTTGTCATGGTTTATCATGGTTAGGTCACATTAAAACATTCTGGGTGACTCGACTCTAATCATATATCATACATTTTCGTAACTGAGCTTCATATATTTATAAGGATCAATTACAAAAATTTATGGTTTAGCTGTTACTTGCCATAGCCTCTTTTTTTATGTAAAATTAAACTATCTACTTTTAATAATATAATGTACAATATTTTCTCCCTTCTTGCTTATGCCTTCATAGTGCAATAGCAAACCCTTCCGTCTACTAGCGTGGGATCCAGAATTCGAATTCCCGTGAAAGCATAGCACATCTTCATATTTTCTGTTTCGACAAACTTAATGACTCTATAATGCAACATATAAATTTGAATGCAATTAATAATAATAATGTTACAAACTAAACTCTTTAGATTCTCGCTTTCTTAAGAAAACACTTAATGAAACACTTAATGTTACTTTAGAAAACACTTAATATTTTAAGAGGCTTGCTTAAAAACAGAAAAGTGCATCAGAGTCCTGTTCTATTTGATAACCTAAACTATGAGAACTCTGCATAAGACTTAAGCGACTTATCTCTATGTCTTGGAAATTACAACAGAGACTACAAAGTGTGAAGAAGACATTTTCATTTAACTCAGACTAAGATTAACAGAAGGCACTGCTTGTGCTTACAGAAACAGCCAGCATTTATGGCTTAAATCTAAAACGTAATGAATTCAAATTTAACTAAGTAAAACGTAAGTTAGCCCAAAGGCTGCACAGACAGAACAGAGAGTGTTGCGGCAAAGCCAGCGAACTATTAAAAATAACATTAAAGTTGATACTTTGAACGATGATTTCTCAATTGAGAAAGTTGAATATATTTGTAATCGCTTAACAACTGCTTTAAATGATATGAAACTAATAGATAATGAAATTCACAACTTCCTTTCTGACGATGAATATGAAAGTGATAATTTGCAGTGTGAAAACTACATAGATACTGGTGAATCTGCAATTTTCAAAGCGTGAAAAATTATTCAGAACAAATTATCGCCAACTGCAAATAATGTTACTGCTTCGAATATAGATACGAATGATTTGAGAATGACATTTGGCGACCCTTCTACTACAGTGTCTATGACTCAATCATATACAGTTAAATTACCAACAATTAAACTACAATCATTTACATGAGAAATTGAACAGTGGCAATGTTTTTGGGAACAGTTTAAATCTTCTATAGATGACAATCCACATCTTTCTGTTATTGATAAGCATGTTTTCCTCAAAGTTTATTTAGATGGTGAAGCTAAACGCCTTGTTGATGGAATTAGTGTAATAGGAGACACCTATAAAACAACAAAAAAATTGTTGGAGGAAAGATACGGAAATAAAGATCGAATTATCCAATCACACTTAGATTACTTAGAACATTTAAATGTTATTCCTACGCATCTCCTACGCATCTAAATGATCTTTACATAGAATGTAACAGAAGAATTCAAGATTTAACTGCTCTGGTTGAAAATATTGAAGCATACGGTATAATACTAGTGCCAAATATTATTCGTGCGTTCTCCAATGATATTTGTTGCCGCTGGATTATCTATGCTAAGCGTGAAAAGCTAAACGAAGGTAATATTACTAGATTGATGCAGTTCTTGGCAGAAGAAGTGGAAGGTGTAGTTGCAGCACAAAGAGTTAAAGGTACGTCTTTTTCTGATCACACCGTAAAGTGCACTGTAGAAAATTTTTAATATCAATTCCAAAACAGTAAACAAACGTAAGAAAATTTCGCCATTTTGTTCATTTTGTAATACTACAGAACATTGGCCTCAATATTGTGACTATGATACTCGTGTTCAGAAACTTAAAACTTCAATTCGCTGCTTTCTGTGTACTAACCGTGGTCATAGAGTTTCAAACTGCTCAAGAAAAAATACTGCACGATGCACTAATTGCAAAAAAAGGCATCATGTTTCTATTTGTCCTTCTGTTGAAAACAATCAACTGCGGATAACTAACAGTGCTGTAAATCACATAACCTTTCCTGAAACTACTGGCCCCACAGGCATTACTAAATTAACACGCTGCATTTTAGATGGTGGTAGCGAAGCATGTTTTGTTCACACAAACCTCATTGAAAAACTTAAGCTTAAAATTGTCAGTACTGCCTCACTTTCAGTTCAAGCATGTGAATCTTTTACTTCACAAGAACAACGTAGATGTGTTCAACTGTCACTTTGAAACTCAAAGATGTACTACAAACACATGAAGAATCTCACAAAACCGAAGCAACTCGGGGGTCGACGTAGAGAACTCTGCGAAGCTACTGGCTAGGATCTGTACCAAGGCAGTCTCGGCCACGGGGGTATAAAATTTATGAACTTGGTGGTTCTGAAGGCTCCAGGAAAGGTCACTTATTGGCCGGCCTCGGGGTCTGGCACGTCTTAGCGCGGCGTGGAACCAGTAGCCCGGGGGATTTCCCCCGGGTACTTTGGGTAATGACCCGCTGCTACGGGCAGCCCGAGTGACTGGTGGGTAGCAAATAACGACCAGTGCCGTGCCGTGTGACTACCTGGGCGGTGCGCTTCCCTCTCTAAAGGGCCAGAGAGGAGGTTGACCTCCGAGTCTGGTTCTAAGGAGTAGGGGGACCTGTAGTGCGACAACTGATTCGCGGAACAGGAATGCCAAAATTTGTTTGTTTGTTTGTTTTTCAGGTACTGGCTGGAATACAAATTCTGATACTTTGAAGCATGCGTTCAAGACTTCCCTCTGTGTTTCTACAGACAAACCACTTACAAAGAGATGGTTACTCCGCTGCATTGCTAGTTTTTATGATCCCTTAGGACTTTCTCACCATTTAATATCCTTGGGAAAATTTATTCCAAGATACATGGATTCTTGGAATCAAGTGGGATGAATTACTACCTGCTAATTTATCAACTTTATGGTATACAGCTGTAATAGAACTTGATGACATTTGCTCCCTTCAAATTCCTCGAAGCATAGGCATTTCATCACATGTTCCTTTTGCTATTCAAGTGTTTTGTGACGCATCTGAACGTGCCTATGGTTCAGTTCTGTACATTGTTAACTTTAAAGGTGACCAATCGAATATGAATTTAGTGTGTAGTCGCAACAAACTAGCTCCTATTAAGAAAGGTACCTTACCTCGTTTGGAGCTCTTGGCGGCCCTGATGGGAGCACGATTGTTGCAATATTTCTGTGCTGAAACAAACATCTGTTCGTCAAATGCAACACTGTGGAGTGATTCTCAAGTTGCCTTAGCGTGGATACGCAGTAACCCCAACAAATGAAAAACTTTTGTTAGCAACAGAGTAACAGAAATTATTTCCTATACTAATACTTCACAATGGAGACATTGCCCTGGCAAAGACAATCCAGCTGACAAACTTTCTCTAGGTGTTTCACCAACAACACTAAAAAACCTGGAAATTTGGTGGAAGGTCCCTCCATGGTTAGTGTAATCTCCAGAATATTGGCCTCATTCTGATACTATTTCTAAAGGTTATAGTCATAATTTAGAAGCAAAGAAAGAAAATGTTCGGACCCTTCACATCGTATCTACTCAACCAATGATAAAGGCTGGAAACTACAGTTCTTACTTTCGATTGTTGCGTGTAACATCTTGGATTCTTCGCTTTATTCACAACTGTAGAAAACAAGAAAAGTTAGAGGGTGAGTTATATGCCACAGAGCTGAATCAAGCTCGTATTTATTGGATACAGACCGTTCAGAAAGAATCCTTTCCTTCAGAATATGAAGCTCTGGTGACAAGAAAATCACTCCCTAAGCTAAGAAATCAAGGATAGAAAAAACAATTCAACCCATTTTTTTCAAGAACAATGTTATACTTCTTGGTGGTCGACTACAATTTTCTGATTTATCTCATGCTGAAAAACATCCCATATTATTGGAACAGTTCTCTTCATTTTACAAGCCTACTGATACGCCAAACACATTTACGAATGCATCATCTCGGTGTTCGGATTTTATAGAATATTGGATATTAAGAGCAAGGCAAGCCATTAAAAAGGTGATGAAGACTTGCCTTCCATTTAAAGTACTGAAACAAAATAGAAGTAAACAGATAGAAGCTCCATTACCAGCTAAGCGAATTCAAAAGTCATCTCCTTTCGAAACTACGGGAATTGATTTTTCTGGACCACTCTACGTAAAATATAATAACTCCGTTACGAAAGCTTACATCGTCATCTTTACATATGCTACAACTCGAGCTATCCACTTAGAATTAGTTCCCGATCTGCGTACTGACGTCTTCCTATTTGCATTACAACGTTTTGTGTCTAGACGTTCACTTCCTCATACAGTGTACACTGATAATGCAACAACTTTCTGCGTTGCGTACAAAGAGCTGAAATTATTCTGGGATACTATATCCTCTGCCAAGGCACAACAGTTTTATACCCACCACAACATCAAATGGAAACTCATCGCCCCAAGTGCGGCTTGGTGGGGAGGATGGTAGGAAAGAATGATAGGCTCAATTAAGCGATGCCTTCGGAAAACATTACGTAAGGCTCTTTTGGATGACGCTGGTTTGATCACTATATTATGTGATATTGAAGCCGCTCTTCAGTAGACCGATTGTCCATGAATACGGAATAAAAGATGACTCTGAGGAAGCTTTAACACCCTCGCACTTCCTCATAGGAAGGAAATTAACTACTATTCCTACCAGCCCCACAAATCCTGAAACAAATTTAAATCGTATGTGGAAGAATTGTCAACATTTGATGGACTTGCGTACATTTCATCAAGTGCGGAATCCATCTGAAACAAATAAAATCCGGAAAGGGGACATTGTCCTACTACAAGAAGATGTTAGACCTCGCCACACCTGGAAACAGGCCCGTGTTGAGGAGCTTGGCATCACTTACGTTTTTGTGTTCATAAATGTTTTGCTTGTTCTATACTTTATTTTTATGTTAGGAAATAAATAATTATAAAATACTATCTCCTAATAGAGAGAAAATGCGCAAGTTGGCTTTGACCTATTTATCGGGGTGACAAGCCCTATAGCGAGAATAACGGAACTTCTCAGGTAACTGCTCTGGAAGAGAATCAAGTATCAAACGGGCAGGAGGCGGAATAGACTCTGTTTTTTTACCATCTAAAACTTTCCTTTTAATACTACCGATTTCTACCTCATTTGAATCATGGAAAACTAGAAATTTACATTCTGGGAGCAAGAATGGGAAGCGAGAACGAAAGAAAAGCTAATTAACACAAAATAACTGATTAATAAAAATAAATGTTTACTCTACAGTAAAATGTAGCCTTGCTATGATTTTACTGATTAGATGCATGAAACATGAAATTTACCAAATGCTTTTCAAAGTTTTCTAAGAATATGAAAATGCGTCTGTGATTAATTCATTGGGATTTACTCGTTAATTTATTTATATAGCTACCGCAAGCATTATCATTTATTATTAATGTTAATTAATTATTACTTATTACCAATATTTCATATTCCGCGTCCACTATCTTGAAGAGAAATGAAAACCTATAGCTATTTTTTGTGCTAGAGTGCTATATATTTCGTGCTAGAGTGCTTTATTTTTGGGATGCAACTATCAGCTTTAACTGTTAATATCATATGTAATTCCATCGAAACACTGACGATCAACAAAAAAAGTCAGCTAAATTTTTTATATAGCACACATACGTAATCATATAGTTGTGAGTGATTAAGGATTAATCTTTCAACTGTATTTTAATACATGAATAGTCAATACATGAATAATTCCTTCTAAATTTAAGACTCCAAACAGCCTTCCTTAATTTCCTTTTCTTGCATTATTTACAATTTTTTTTTCTCAGGGAAAAAAGTGCAAAGATTTCCAGAGTTGAGATTATTGAGCATGTAAAATGTAAAGTATACGTGGAATTATTTACTTTGCTTTAGATACAGCAAAAATAAAATATCTCTGCAGGACTGCAAAACTTGGCCAAAAAAAAAAATAAAAGAAAGAAAATTATCCTTTGAAATGAGATTTTTGGCAGCTCTCTTGTAATGCAGTCAGCAATGCAGGGTCGTAATTCCTTATAAAGCTGAATATCTCGCCGGCTTTCCTAAAGGCCATTATTCGTTTCGAAAATAATTTCTTTTTCTTACGAGTAACGAAAGCTCATTCATATTAATGTAGCACGAAGGACTTTTAACTTCATAAAAGTTAGTGGAAGTAGGAAACATTCCTGTATAAAATACCGTTACGTCGATAATTTATGCACAAATGGAGTGAATTTACAATCCTGTGGAAGCTACCAAAAAACTCATGTCGAATTTAATTTAGATTTTGTCTAGGTTTAAAACAAATGTGAATCTAATGAGATATAGTATTTTAAGATGAAAACTATGCGTAGTTTTTTATCCCTGTTCTTTTCTGCTATTACTGGTCAACAAGGGAAAGCATATGGTAGAGATCAATATGGAAGACATTAAAACATAATCAAAACACATTGCATTTGTAATGTAAATAAGTTTTCGAATAAAGTATTCCGCATTCAACTAAAAGTAATGTGAATATTTAATCTGGAATATCAGAGATGAATGTTTGTTTTTTAGAATTTTAAGCAGACAATTTAATAAGACATCTTTTCAGATATATGCAGAAAGAAAAATAATTAAAATGAAGTTAATGTTGTAAAACTTCTTATGTTTTTTAGACCAGGAAATATAAGAAGTCTAGTGTGACCTTGCCGGGGTTTGAATCGTAGATCTTCCATCATAAGCAGCACCGGAACGTTCAGAGAATGTTCAAAGAGCATGTCCTTCGTTCTATGACGGTGTTACGAGCATTTAGAAAGCTTTATAGAACGCGTTAAAATGGTGCGTATTACAACCGTGTTCTTAGAACGTACAATCGAGCATTGGGATTTTGCTGAAAATCGTAAGGAGGAAGTTCTTTTGACTCGATTCAGAATTAGTCATACTAGAGTAACACATAACTATCTCCTCAAAGCTGAAAATGAGCCTGTCTGTTCTAATTGTAATGTTTGTTTATCTGTTAGTCATATTTTAATTGAGTGTCCATGTTTTAACAGTCTTCGCGAGAAATATTTTAGTAGCTGTGACTTACCTCTCAACCGTTTAATCGGAAGAGAGGTCAATAGCAATTTATTTTACTATTTAAAAGAGACTGGCTTTTATTATCTAATGTAATTTATTTTGAAGGCTGTGTCTTGAATATTGCCTTTAACTTAATTTTATATGACTTCATCCTCTGGATTTGGTACATTTGTATACTTGTTTTTAATTATTGTATTTTAACTTCATCATTTGTAATCATCTCATCTCGTGTTTGGCGCGCTTTAATCATCTTTGGTTTTGCGCCATAATCTCTCACTCTCACTCTTAGAACGTACAACGAAACGTACAACACTGGTACGTTTCTAAAACGTTCCCAGTAGGTCCTGTAAAGTACGTTCTACACAACGTGTTAAAGTGGTGCGTGTTGCAACCATATTCTTAGAAAGTACACTAAAACGTACAACACTGATACTTTTCAAAACGTGACCAGCGTGTGCTATAAAGTACGTTCTACATCACGTGTTAAAGATATGCGTTACAACTGTGTTCTTAGAACATCCATTAAAAGGTATATCACTAGTACTTTACGAAACGTTCCAATCATACGCTATAAAACAACGTTCTACATGACATGCTAAAGTGGTACGTGTTAAAACCACGCTCTTAGGACATACATTTCAGCGTACAACTGTGATTTATTTCTATATGTACAACACTTTTCGAAACATTCTCTTCATGTGCTGTAAAATATGTATTACTCATGCTACGTTTAGAATAATTCGTTAAATTTTGGGTAACCATCAACTTATTAATTTTGGACAAATATCTTAGTCAATATTTTTTTGCCGAGGAATGGACTAAAGAAAATACATTTATTAAACATTTAATTACATAAAAAATTGTATTCGTACAAAATATCATAAGCAAAAAACATTTATTACAAGAATGGTACAAAATAATATCATTTAAAGTTTATATAGTGAATGTTTAGTATAAATTACTCAGAGTTTCCAAAAATGTTTAGATTTTCTGATTCGTTTTTTTCAAATGAAATGGTTTTTATGCATTATTTCTTTAATTTAAGTTAATCATATAAACAGTGCTAGATTTTTTTAAGAATACAAATCAAAACTGTCTTATTAAAAGGCAACTGAAACAAAACAGTCAATTTAAACTTGTTGAAGATTTTACTGCAAAATGTGCATATCTATTTAATTATTTGCATTCAAAAATTCGTGATTAACTATTTCGTGCAAGTAAACGATCTTTTTTGAAATTACATAAAGAAAATAACATTCTGTACCGAAAAGTGTTATTATTTGTATACAGTCATACCATAATTTCGCAGTAAGAGAAACTCTCTGGGACAATTAACGAAGTTTCCAGTCTGTTAGTCTTCTATAGAGGTGGTCTCTTTATAAAGGTTAAGTTTGATACCAATATTAATTTACAGTCTCAGAAGAATTGCTTTCTTTCAGAAGTGGTCGTCTTAGGTGGTCGCTCCGACAGTTTTTGTTGCCTTAAATCACTTTGCTGTTCTTTTTAATAAAAATGAATTCATTATTATTAAACATTAATTTATTTATAACGTATAGAAAATACGATAAAATAAGTACTGTTTACTACAGAAATAATCTAGAATGTTTTACAGAACCATATTCTTTCGCGGCATTTCGATCCGTGCAAACGGCTGCAATGGTTCTTGAATTGACTGTCATTTAGTTACTGGGATACCAGTAGTTCTCAATACCGTTCTAATAACAACGCTCCGCGAAGCCCTAACGCCTCTCTGTTACAGGAAAATAAAATAAATAAAAACTGAATGAAATTGGTGCATAAGAAAGGAAAAGAAAAATAATGTTTTGGGGATAACAATTTTGCAAGCTGGCTTTTATACTTTCTTTAGCAGACAATGGCAATTAGTTGGAACTGTAAATTAGGAAATTCAAAAATTTCTATTTGAAAATACATGGAAACCGAACATTCTTGTTTTGTTCCCTCAAAACTGAAATTATTAGTAACTTTCTGTTGAACCGAAGCTTTGTGTTATAAATAATTGACATATATTTTGTACATTGCATGTATTTACACTGTATTTTTGTAATAAATTAATGTATGGGAAAAGAAAACATTATTAAGAAATTACCAAGTATGAAAAAATGCATTTAAAATATTAGCGATACCTAAATATATAACAACTAGTGGAATGGAGAAACCTGAGATGATTCTCTCGTTCTTTGGATTTGCAAAGTGGAAAGCACATATAAACAGCTGTGATTGTTTAATGTTTGAGGGGCTATTAAATTTTATCAGTTAATAATATCTGTCAGTATTGAAAATATCAAGCATCGTTCTGTGTTTTTGACAAAAAAGGCATAACACCGACAAATATTCATAAACTCATATTTTCACCCTGTGGTGATACAGCATCA